CCCCCACCCAAACCCCCTGCCCCCCCCCACCAAAAAGCCTGTGGCTTGCTCAGCACTCCAACCCTCCACCTGAGCCCAATACTCCCCAGCCTGGAGCCTCCTCCCTGAGCCAGCATCCCCTTCTCCACATCCTCCTGCATCCAAATTCCCTCCCAGAGCTCACCCTTTCCCACATCGAAATCCCTTATTCACACCCCAGAGTCTGCACCTCCTGTCTCAACTCAGGGAGGGTACGGCTAGACTGCAGGAGTTTTTCTGGCAAACATGCTCTTTTGGCAACCCTCTTTTGGGGCTTCCAAAAGAAGGGGTTTTTCTGACATTTGGCCCAGTCTAGATGGGCCAAAGGTCAGAAAAATGTCTTCCAACAAAAGGATTGAAACAAAGCGGCAGTGTAGCCGTACCTTGAGGGTGTATAACGGCTGGGGATAGCAAGTGATGGAGAGAAGGGGAACAGAGAGAGCGGAGCCTCAAGGATAGGGTGGGGTCTTGGGGAAGGAATGGGGTAGATCTTGGCTTGTCCTGACATTTAAAAAGTGATCTTGGGTGTAAAAAGGTTGGAGACCACTGATGTACATCATCTCCATATTGCTGCATGTAACAAAATTCATTTCACAGAGGGACATAAAAAATTAGAGGGAACACTGGTCTGGAATGAATCATATAGCTCATTCTAGCCCATCCCCACAGGAAGTCCCGCCTCTTTTTTAAGTATTGGCACCAGGAGCTGCTGGCAAAGAGCATGGAGCACTTGGAAAAAGCAGCAATAATCATCCAGAAGAGTGAGTATTGGTGCAAGAGAGTTTCATCCAACCCAGTGTGCATATCAGGACAGGGAGCATAGGAGAAAGGCCTTTGCCCAACCTCTCTCTCATCGCTGAAGGTCCCTCAATACTAGAGACAGGAAAACCTGATAAAGTGCCATCTCTAAGGCACCTCAGACTCTTTGTGTTCATCATATGAACAACATAACACTGAACTTGTCAAAGCCTTTAACAAGGAGGAAAGCAGTCTGTGTGTGGATAGGGAGGGGCATAGACAGGAGAGCTGAGCAAGTGCAGGCTAGCAAGTCTCACTGTAAAGTGGATGTCAAGAGAGGTGGTTAATGAACTTATAATGCTGGTATGAATTGTAAGAAATCATGGGAATCTGGGGAGACGCACTTGCAGACGGGGAGACCAGAAAATGGCATTACCCTCCCAGGGATGGGCAGTGGTGTATGATCCAGGTGATTGCTGTCCTGCTAGCCTGGCTTCTGTCCCTGGCGGAACAATAGGCTTGTGAGCAATATGTGCTCTAGTGAGAGACATGGTACAGCTTTATCTTTACACAGTCTTTGACATGGCTCTGCATTGGGCACACAAATACTACAGGCTTCTGTTCTTGCCCTGCTCTTGTTCCTTGCTCTAACTGTAGCTTCTCTCTGAGCAGCTTACAAGGCATTCTGCTGCAGAAAGAGTTACCAGGAGCTGGTGGCTGAGCACAGGGCTCGGGAGAAGCAGCTGCAGGAGGAAGCAGAGAGAGAAAGGAACAGGCAACTGAAACTGGAGTCCCAGGCCCAGAGTAAGTCACTGACACCTCCTTTCATCAATATCTCCATACCCCACATGTCTGGCTGCTCTCTTAGTAGCTATTTGCAGCTACTGAAGACCCTTCCGGGTCTGACTGCCTTTTCCCTTAGCTGTAGCTGAGCCCTTAGGCTTCACTCTCTTCCATGCCACATCAGAGCTGTGGGTAGTCAGAGGAAAAGCTAGAATCCTAGGGTTGGAAGAGACCTCAGGAGTCATTGTGTCCAACCCCCTGCTAAAATCAAAACCAACCCCAATTAAATCATCCCAGCCAGGGCTCTGTCAAGCCAGGACTTCAAAATCCACAGGGATGGAGGTTCCACCACCTCCCTAGGGAACCCATCCCAGTGCTTCGCCACCCTCCTAGTAAAATAGTTTTTCCAAATATCCAATCTAGACTTGCACTGTAACTTAAGATCATTACTTCTCGTTCTGTCATCTGCTGCCACTGAGATCAACCTCTCTCCATCCTCTTTGGAACCCCCTTCAGGTAGCTGAAGGCTGCTAGCAAATCCCCCTTCACTCTTCTGCAGACTAAACAAGCCCAAATCCCTCAGCCTCTTCTCGTATGTCATGTGCTCCAGCCCCATAATCATTTTCATTGCCCTCAGCTGGACTTTTTCCAATGCGTCCACATCCTTTCTAAAGTGGGGGGCCCAGAATTTGACCCAATACTCCAGATGTGGCCTCAACAATGCCGAATACAGGGGAATAGTCACTTCTCCAGATCTTCTGGCAATACTTCTACTATTGCAACCTAATATTCCATTCACCTTCTTGGCTACCAGGGCACACTGTTAACTCATCTCCAGCTTCTCATCCACTGTAACCCCCAGGTCCTTTTCTGCAGAACTTCTGCTTACCCATTCAGTCCCCAGCCTGTAGCAGTGCTTAGGATTCTTCTATCCCAAGTGCAGGACTTTCTGTTACCCACATACCTAGTGTGGTTCACTGTCCCATGGAGTGGCACTTAGACCAGTTACAGCAAGAGTAGGGATGTTAAATTTAGATTAATTAACTAATCGAATAGTTGATAGGATTTCCATTGACTATTCGATTAGTCTATAAGGGCGCCTCCGCCTTTGAAATGTACAAGAGCCCAGGTGGGGATCTTGTACTTTTCAAAAGGAAGTCCTGCAGAGAAGTCCCACCGGGTATTTCAAAGACTGAGGCACCGTAGGGAGCACGGGGTGAGAGGGGTCCCCCACTGGTCCCGCACTTCCCAAGTGGCTCCCCCCAGCACCATCTCCTGCTCCCCCACCTTGCTGCCTCTCTCTGATAGAGGCAGAAAGGGGATAGAGGGAAGTGACTAGTCTCATCACTGGTCGACAATCAGATAGTCAACTAGTCTCTTACATCCCTAAGCAAGATTACAAGTTAGCTCTATAGCCTAAGCTGAGAGACAGTTGGCTTTATAGCTCAAACTGTGGAGGCTTCTATACTGAGGTCCTAGGTTCAAATCTGCCCTGTGTCGGTTACATTTTCACTTCTCCTTGTTGAACCTTAGTTAGAAGTGGTGATATGAGTGGTTCTCTAAAACTCTCCTCCAGCATTTGCCTCAGGCCAGGTCCTCTCTCCACTTGGAAATGCGGAGGTTGGGAACTGAGCTGTGAAATCCCACATGCCTTGGGCTCTGATGAGCCAGGCCAGCAGATCTTTCCCAGCCTCTTTTACTCATCAGTGTGAGGTGACTTCATGCCATCTCCTATTCAAAGCTGGCATTTCTGCCATAGTATGTGGTGCAGGACATGGCAGCAGAGCAGAAACCCCACCTCTTCTCACTCCTTTCCATGCTCCAGGTAGGATGGGGTAGTTGAAAGCTCCATGGATTGATATTCTTCAGAGTCCCTTGTCCTGCATCTGCCATGCTGCCTGCTGGAGAGGCAGAACCTTCCTCATGGCACCCCTAAGTGTGATGGTGTGTGATGGCTCTGTTACCAGGTGAGATGGATCATTCTCTGGATTCACAATGCCATTTGCTCCCTCCTCTCTCTGCAGGAACAGTCACTTCACCAGTCCCTGTGCCACGGAGGAAACGCCCTCAGCCCCTCCCCCGTTGTCAAGCTGGAGCTGATTCTTTATCACAGCCACCAGTACCACGCCCTCGCAGCAAACTCACAGAGGTAATCATGTTGGCACTGCCTAGGGTCAGATTCCCGGGGACATCCCAATATGCGATCTTGGGGGCGCCCACGTGTCTGCACATTCCCTCCATGTGATCCAGGGAGAACCATACTCCTCGTCCATGTAACCAGGAAGGAAGAGGAATTTATGTTTAATATTGTGAGTTTAAATAAACCAAATCTGGTAAATCCTTTAAAGGAGACAACTGTAAGTTTTCCTCCCTCTCTTGTTCCTGTCTCCACTGTTGATTTTCAATGAGTCTTAGAGCACTGGGGAAGTTCCAAGAGGCTGGAAGGAAGCTAGTGTTGTACTAGTTGTAGAAAGGGTAAATGGCATGACACTGATAATTATAAGCCTATCATTCAGACATTGATCCAGGAAAAGATCATGAAACTGCTGAGACAGGACTGCATTAATAAAGAGTTAAAGGAAGGTAATGTAATTAATGCAAATCAACATGGATTTATGGAAAATAGCTCCTGTCAAACTAACCTGGTTTCTTCTTTGATGAGCTTGCAAGTTTGATTGGTAAAGGTACTAGTATTGATGTACGATCATGTAAATGTCTGCAGTGCATCAGAATTATAACATTTTGATTTAAAAAATCTTGAAGGAAATAAAATAAACATGGTACACATTAAATAAGTTCAAAAGTAGCTAACCAATGGGTATCTAAATATAATGATAAACAGGTGTCAGAGGGGTAGCCGTGTTAGTCTGAATCTGCAAAAGCGGCAAGGAGTCCTGTGGCACCTTATAGACTAACTGCAGTGTAGGAGCATAAGCTTTCGTGGGCAAAGACCCACTTCGTCAGACGCATGCATCTGACAAAGTGGGTCTTTGCCCACGAAAGCTTATGCTCCTACACTGCAGTTAGTCTATAAGGTGCCACAGGACTCCTTGCCGCTTTTAATGATAAACAGGGAATCATCATCAAATGGGTGTGTTTCCATTAGAGTCTCACAGGGATTAGTTCTTAATATCCATAAGCACATAAGAATGGCCACACTGGGTTAGACCAAAGGTCCATCTAGCCCAGTATCCTAACTTCTGACAGTAATCAATGCCAGATGCCCCAGAGGGAATGAACAGAAGAGTAATCATCAGGTAATCTCTCCCCTGTAATCCATTCCCAGCCACTGGCAAACATGCTAGGAACACCATTTCTACCCATCCTGGCTAAAAGCCATTGAGGGAGCTAATCTCCATAAATTTATCTAGTTCTTTTTTTGAACCCTGTTAAAGCCCTGGCCTTCACAACATCCTTTTGCGAGGAGTTCCACAGGTTGACTATGCATTGCATGAAGAAATATTTCCTTTTGTTTGTTTTAAACCTGCTACCTATTAATTTCATTTGGTGACCCCTAGTTCTTCCTGCATTATCCATCCACTGACTTTGATCTTTAACTACTCAGGTTTAGCATCCTTTCTCCTGATACTTTATGCATAGAGGTAGGAGGGTAGGCGACAGAACATCTTTCGCCCCCCTCTCAGCCCCCCCAACCCCTTCCCTTCTCCTATTTATTTTGAGTTTCCTTATCCTCTAATCATAACTCCAGTCATCTGAAGAAGATCTGGTCAGCTGTGCCCACGAAAGCTCATGATACCATCAACATGTTTTGTTAGTCTATAAAGTGCTACCGGACCATTTCCTAGTTCTTATGTTATTGGAACAAGTAAATAACTTTTCCTTATTCACTTTCTCCACACCACTATGATTTTATAAATTTCTATCATATCTCCCCTTCGTCTCCTTTTTTCTAAGATGAAATATTTCAGTTTTATTAATCTTTCATATGGCAGCCATTCCATATTCCTAATCATTTTTTACCCTTTTCTGAACTTTTTCCAGAGCTAAGGTATTTTTTTTAGATGAGGTGACCACATCTGTATGCAGTATTCAAGATGTGTGCATATCATGGATTTATACAGAGGCAATAAGATATTCTCTATGTTGTGGGGGCTGGCTCCAGGCAAGCTAGGGGCTGGATCTGGCACCCGGGCGTTAGATTCTCCACCCTAGGACTAGATGATAACAGTAGCTTGCTGGTCTAGGAAGCTATCAATTTCACCACCTTCTTTCTCTCTCTCTTCCCTGTTTTCAGTCAACTCCTTTTGATAATTTTCTGCGCTCCAGGCCCTGTCCTGTGTTAGGGACAGAGAGGCAGGCAGGAGAAGAAGAAGAAATGAGACAAATGAAGAGGGGAGCAACTCTTCGCTGGTTCAGAGACACACAGGCCCAGAAGGTTATGCAGGACAATGGAGCCTTTCCTGGCTGGCTGCATGGGATGATCAGCAGGAGGTGAGCTTCCTAAGAGCATGCAGCCTACCAAGGGACTGTGCTGTGCTGTGCTGTGCTGTGCAGGCAGAGGCTGGTGTGTCCTTATAGAACCTGTGTGTGTGTGTAGGGGTTAGGGTGCCTGGAGAGAGCATGGACTGGTTTCTCAGGGAGCTGGGCAGAAGGCCCAAAGCCCTTCTGCTTTAAAGCATATTCCAGTCCAGCCCCAGGTCTTTTAAATTGCCTGGGAACGGGGAACTGCACAGTGCACTCTGGGAGGTGCAAACAGTGGGTGACCCTAGACCTGCCCCTTCCCATTCAAGGCCACCCCCCTTGTGCCAGAGATCCCATCCCTTCCAACAATGTGGAGTGCCCCTCCCCTCAGTTGCCCAGGGGCCTGGCAAGTCTTTTGGGTCCCAGAAGACAAGGCAGCTGTGTAACTCTGGACTGTTTGGTAAGCTGCACCCATTTAGAATGAAACTGTTTCAGTACAATTAAATGCAACATTATATTATCTAGGATGAAGGAATGCAGGCCATACCTACAGAATGAAGGGCCGTGTCATGGGAAGCAGCAACTCTTTAAATGATTTAGAAGTTGCAGGGCAATAGCAACTGAATGATGAATATGATGCTGTGACAAAAAGGGATCCTGGGATGTGTAGAGAGAGGAGTGGGGGGGGGGATTTTAACCCTGTATATGTAGTTCAATGCAGCAATACTCATCACAGATCCCTGGGATCTGTGCTACATCTATCCTTTAAGCAGTCCCCTTCAGTGGGCCAGTCCCTCAAGAAGTCCTACCTTTCCTTTGGGGTAGGTTCTGCAGCCTCACAGCCTCCTAGGCAGAACCCTGCGGCTCTGCACTCCAATTTGATGCTGTGAGCTCTGCAAACCTGGGTGAAATGGACTCCTGATAATGACTTGGACAATTTTCAGAGATTAATGCATATCAGCAAGTGTTTGCAGTGACATTATTAGCCTTTTCAAAGCATATATATGAATATACTTGTCAGTTGGAATCCAGCATGGAAATCCTTACACTAGCATACAATAATAAAGTCTAAAACATTGTCCATTCTGGTGAATCCACAGCAGGGGTAGGCAATAATTTTTGACCAGGGGCCACTTCGGAAATTTTTGAAGTGGCCCCAGGCCGCCCCAGAAGGGGCAGGGCCTCAGGCAGAAGGGCTCGGGCTAGGACACTTCCTGCTTCCCCACCCAGAGACCCTGATTGATCTGGGGGTGGGTGAGTGCATGAAGTCTTTGCCCCCCCCCTTCCCCGAGAGAGCCGCTAACGGTGGGAGGAGATTTCGTGCACTCTCCGCCCTGCCCCCAGGTCAATCAGGGCCTGGGGGAGGGGGAGCACACAAAGTCTCTCGCTCCCTACCCCCGCCCTGCAAGAGAGCACTGCGCTCAGAGTCAATCTCCAGCTGAACAGCAGCTGGTGGTTGACTTTAAGTGCAGAGCCCCTTGTAGAGCAAGAGGAGACTTTGCGCGCTTCCCCAACCCCCAGGCCTTGATTGACCTGGGGGCGGGGGAGTGTCAGGGACTCTGCAGGTTGGATCAACCCACTTGGCGGGTCAGATCAGGCTCACTGAGGCCTTTTTGCCCACCTCTGATCCAGAACAATTCACCAGCCATTTCAGGCTCTAGCTCTCAGACACCTTTGTCAGTTCCAGGATAGAGAGACTAATTTCCTCCAAAAACCCACACTGTATTCCCTGACAGTCTTGTCTCAGCAGCACTGTGGGTGAGATCTCTCATTGGACTAACTTTTGTTGGTGAGACAAGCTTTAGATTTACACAGAGATCTTCCTCAAGTCTGGGGAAGTATTTGCAATGTTACAATGCGCCTGGAGTGAAGGGGATGTGATGAGAGTGAGTGTTGGCTGCATCATGGAGAAGGTGCTACAGGATGTGAAAAAGGAATGGGCTTTCCTTTTTACACAGGTTTTATTGTTGACTCTTGGATTAAAATCTTTCCTGTTTGCTCCCAGGGAAGCTGAGAATTTGCTGATGGAGAAACCTCTGGGCTGCTTCTTGGTTCGAATCAGTCAAAGCAGACCTGGCTACACCCTCTCATACAGGTAATGCACCCACTGCTTTTCTTCTGCCAGGACTCTGATGGTGGGCTTCACAAGGTATGCAAGCACAGTGCATCAGCTTTGTCCGTGGACTGAGATACTAAGGCTGGTGCCCTAGACACACCCCTGATCCGGTGCTCTACCCACAGTCCTGACCTGTCTCTAGACACATCCCAGAGGGACAGACGGGGGACTCTGATGTCTCCATAAATCAGAAAGATCCAGTATTGAGGATTAGATTGATTCATGAATGATGTATAGTAACTGCAGTACATGAGCTGGAGGGGATGTTAGATATGGGGACCTGAGTTGGCGGGCACTTGATGTGGATTCTGCATATAGGGATGGATGGAACTGGAGGTAAGATGGTGGATGCTTGATGATGTGAATGCTCCATCCATCCACATGTGCACCTGGATAGGAGCTGGAGATGGAGGATGGTGAGCATGGGTATTGCTTGAGGAGGTGCCATATTGGGTGGGAAGGAGATGCTGTGTCTGGGTCCTGCATTGGGGGATCAGACTGAAGAAGGCGCCATACAGGCGGTATTGCCTGGAGCAGGGACAGGCTGTATGGAGGAGGTTGAGATGTGTAAATGGGTAATGTACTTAGAGGGGAATGATGAAAAGGGTTTTTTAGGCTTGTGAGACAGAATGGGTTAGTGAGTAGTCATAAATTCTAAGGTCAAAAAGGATCACTATGATCATCTAGTCTGATCTCCTATCATGGGCTGGAGAACTGTCCCAAAAGAATGCCAGTTTCCTTATATTCTAGAAAAGCATCCAGTCTTGATTTAAAAATGGTCAGTAGATAATCTATCCCCACCACAGGTCCGCTGTTCCACTGTCCAACATGTGAACCTTTGTTTCCAGTCTGAAATTGTCTAACTTCAACTTCCACCAGTTGGATCTTGTTAGACCTTTGTAGGTTAGGCAGAAGATCCCTTTATTATCAAATTTCTGTTTCCCATGTAGGTACTTATAAACTGAGATCAAGTTGCCCTTCACTTTCTCAGTGAGAATCTAGACCCTGTCACCTTAAAGCAGGGATGTGCAAAATACAACCCTCGGGCTGGATCCGGCTCACCAAAGCCCAGCAGAATCCTCTGGCAGGAGTCTGGCTGCTGCAGCCCCAAATGTCATTCTAAGCAGCCAACTGCTATGGCCAGCATGTGTGTGTCTCTGCAACATTGCCCCTTGGGAAGAGGGGGGAACTGGCCAATGGAAGATGCTGGTGTAGTGTTTGTGGGTGCAAGCAGAGACCCCTTACCTCCCTCCACCGCGAAGGGCTTGCCACACAGAGATACAGCAGCAGCCAGGGAGCTTGCCTGACGATCCTGCTGGCCGGGAACCACCTATGGTAAGGATTTCCCAAGCAGAGCCTCTAATGGGCACCCTTCCCAGGTCATAACCCCCCTACTGTACCCAAATCTTCCCTACCCCTGCCCCAGGTTACAACCTTCTCCTGCATCTCCAACACCTCCTGCCCCAGATCAGAACACTGCTTGAACCAAAACTCCTTCCAAGAACCTACAGCTCCTTCTGCACCCCAATCCCTTACCCAGAGGTCCCATATGTATCCAAACTCTACCCCAGACTCCAAACTCCCTCCATTAATATTATAGAAAATTGCAGCAAGTGACCACTTACTAAATTCTCCCGCCCTGCTAAAAGGAAGGCAGATTTTAGTAAACTCTGAGAGATGGTAGGTAAAGTCCCATGGGAAGCAAAACTAAGAGGAAAAACAACTGGATACAGTAATTCCTCATTTAACACTATAGATATGTTTCAGAAAATGATCGTGTTAAGTGAAAACGTGTTATGCAGGGTCAGTTTTCTCATTGAAAATAATGGAAAAGGTGGGGATTGCATTTCAAGCGGTGGTGTCTGTTGGGACCGGGACATAAGGTTGAGGGAGAAAGGGGTCTGGGTTACAGCAGGAAGGGCAGGTGTTTGGCTCTGGGGAAGGAAAGGGGAGGGAGATTGGATTGGGAGTATGCCCCTGTGACGGGTCTGCCGAGACCCGCACTGCGTCCGGCGAGGGGGGTTCGGCGGGGAATGGCGCAGTAAGCAGTGAACTCTCTGCCGCTTTGCAGGGAGGTGGGGGAAGCCCTGCACAGCCACCGACGATGGGCCAGCTAGGGAAACCCAGCCGCTGGCCTGCAAATGGGGGCAAAGGAGAGGGGGCAAGGCGTCCAGTGAGGAGTCATCAGCGGGGAACAGCACGGCGAGTGGCGAACCCTCCACTGCTTTGCAGGGCGGTGGGGGAAGCCCTACGCAGCTGCCGGGAATGGGCCAACTGGGGAAATTGTGTTATTCTGGGGACGGTCGTGTAATTCAAAAAACGTTATGTAAAAAAAAAAAATTGTGCTATCGTGAAAATGTCTTAAGCGGGCATGTATTAAATGAGGAATTACTGTACAGTAGGCAGTTTTTCAAAGGGATATTATTACGGACCCAAAAGCAAACCATTCCACTTTGTAGGAAAGACCACCTTGGCTTTACATGATCTGAAAATCAAAAAGGACTCATTAAAAAGTAGAAACTAGATCAAATTACAAAGGATAAATATAAGCAAATAATGCAAGTATGTAGGGGCAAGATTAGAAAGATGAAGGCACAGAACAAGCTCAGTGTAGCTAGAGATATAGAGGGTAATAAGAAAACATTTCCATTCACACAGCTCATAGAGATTTTCTCCATTTTGTCTTAGGTTTCAATCATTACCAATACAAAGTGCTACCATTTGGCCTATCTGCTCCTCCGAGAGTATTCTCAAAAATCATAGAATCATAGAATAATAGGACTGGAAGAGACCTCGAGAGGTCATCGAGTCCAGCCCCCCGCCCTCAAGGCAGGACCAAGCTCCGTCTACACCATCCCTGACAGATGTCTATCTAACCTGTTCTTAAATATCTCCAGAGAGGGAGATTCCACCACCTCCCTTGGCAATTTATTCCAATATTTGACCACCCTGACAGTTAGGAAATTTTTCCTAATGTCCAATCTAAACCTCCCCTGCTGCACTTTAAGCCCATTACTCCTTGTCCTGTCCTCAGTAACCAAGAGGAACAAATTTTCGCCTTTCTCCTTGTGACACCCTTTTAGATATTTGAAAAACGCTATCATGTCCCCCCTTAATCTTCTTTTTTCCAAACTAAACAAGCCCAGTTCATGAAGCCTGGCTTCATAGGTCATGTTCTCTAAACCTTTAATCATTCTTGTCGCTCTTCTCTGTACCCTTGCCAATTTCTCCACATCTTTCTTGAAATGTGGCGCCCAGAACTGGACACAGTACTCCAGCTGAGGCCTAACTAGTGCAGAGTAGAGCGGCAGAATGACTTCACGAGTTTTGCTTACAACACACCTGTTGATACAACCTAGAATCATATTTGCTTTTTTTGCAACAGCATCACACTGTTGACTCATATTCAACTTGTGGTCCACTATGACCTCTAGATCCCTTTCCGCCATGCTCCTTCCTAGACAGTCGCTTCCCATCTTGTATATATGGAACTGATTGTTCCTTCCTAAGTGGAGCACTTTGCATTTCTCTTTATTAAACCTCATCCTGTTTACCTCTGACCATTTCTCTAACTTGCTAAGGTCATTTTGAATTATGTCCCTATCCTCCAAAGAAGTTGCAACCCCACCCAGATTGGTATCATCTGCAAACTTAATAAGCGTACTCTCTATCCCAATATCTACATCATTGATGAAGATATTGAACAGTACGGGTCCCAAAACAGACCCTTGCGGAACTCCACTTGTTATCCCTTTCCAGCAGGATTTAGAACCGTTAACAACAACTCTCTGACTACGGTTATCCAGCCAATTATGCCCCCACCTTATCGTGGCCCTATCTAAGTTATATTTGCCTAGTTTATCAATAAGAATATCATGCAAGACCGTATCAAATGCCTTACTAAAGTCTAGGTATATGACATCCACCGCTTCTCCCTTATCCACAAGGCTCGTTATCTTATCAAAGAAAGCTATCAGATTAGTTTGGCATGACTTGTTCTTCACAAACCCATGCTGGCTATTCCCTATCACTTTATTACCTTCCAAGTGTTTGCATATGATTTCCTTAATTACCTGCTCCATTATCTTCCCTGGGACAGACATTAAACTGACCGGTCTGTAGTTTCCTGGGTTGTTCTTATTCCCCTTTTTATAGATGGGCACAATATTTGCCCTTTTCCAGTCTTCTGGAATCTCCCCTGTCTGCCATGATTTTTCAAAGATCATAGCTAAAGGCTCAGATACCTCCTCTATCAGCTCCTTGAGTATCCTAGCAGTCAACAGCTTACCTCAGAAAGCAGGACATGATACTGTAATAGTTCCTTACCTGGATGATTGTCTGCTAAAAGCGCATCCCAGACTCAACTCCTGATGCAACATTGTGTGCACTTCTGATATACTGTCTTAAAAAAAATTAAACTTAAAAAACAATAAATTGTGGGCTGTGCCCACAAAAGCTCACGATACCGTCTACATGTTTTGTTAGTCTTTAAAGTGCTACCAGACAATTTGTTGTTTTTTAAGTTTATCCTGTACAGACTAACTCGACTACCCCCCGAAGTTTTAAAAAAAATTGACAAATTGGAAAGGGCACAATAAAGAGCCACTAGAATGATTAAAAGCCTGGAAACTCTGCCTCATTGAGGGCATGCCTACACTGGGGAGTTATTTCAAACTAACTCCTCTTATTTTGAAATAACAAGGTGAGCGTCCACACTATCAAGCCTGTTATTTCAAAATAAGGGGCTTGTTATCATATATATAGTAGCCCAGTGTCTGTGAGTCTGTAACGCTGACGTACACGGCCACGCCCCCTGGCCATGTACGTCAGCACCCCGCCCCCCGTCCCCTCCTGCCGGGGAGCTCAGTTGAGTGCTGCACCCCTAATCCGGGCCGCCGGGGGAACCAGCAGTGCAAGGAGCCGTTTGGGCTCCCCATGGCGGGACGGGAAGGGGGGGCGGGTTGGTGATGTACACGGCCCCACCCCCTGGCCTCGCGGCAGCCCGGATGAGCAGGCAGCACTCAGCCAAACACCACGGCAGGAGGGGAAGGGCAAGGAGAAGGGGGGCAGGGAGAGACGGAGGGGAGAGAGAGAGACAGGAGGAGGAGGAGAAGAGAAAGGGAGAGTGAGAGGCAGGGGGAGGAGAAAAAAAAGAAAGAGATGGAGAGAGAGGCAGAAGGCGAAGGAGAGCTGGGGGGGGAGGCAGTAGGACGAGAGAGAGAGAGAGGGAGCCAGAGACTGGAGGCTCAGGAGAGAAGACCAAAGTGGAGGAGAGACCTGAAAATCCCATCTTATGATGGGCTACTTGGCTAGTTTAAAAATAACAACTCCTACTTGTGAAGGGCAATAAGCTTATTCTGAAATAATTATTTTAGGAGTTATTTTGAAATAACTTATTTTGCAATAACCTGGTAGTGTAGACATAGCCTGAGAGGCTAATGCAGCTCAATCTATTTAGCTTGTCAAACAGAATGTTATGGGGAGACTTGATTACAGTCTACAGTTACTAAAATGTGGACGAGATTCTGTCAATAGAATCATAGAATACTAGGACTGGAAGGGACCTCAAGAGGTCATCGAGTCCAGTCCCCTGCCCTCATGGCAGGACCAAATACTGTCTAGACCATCACTGATAGACATTTATCTAACCTACTCTTCAATATCTCCACAGATGGATATTCCACAACCTCTCTGGGCAATTTATTCCAGTGTTTGACTACCCTGACAGTTAGGAACTTTTTCCTAATGTCCAACCTAAACCTTCGTTGCTGCAGTTTAAGCCCATTGCTTCTTGTTCTATCCCCAGAGGCCAAGATGAACAAGTTTTCTCCCTCCTCCTTATGACACCCTTTTAGCTATCTGAAAACTGCTATCATGTCCCCCCTCAATCTTCTCTTTTTTAAACTAAACAAATATAATTCCTTCAGCCTTCCTTCATAGGTCATGTTCTCTAGACCTTTCATCATTCTCGTTGCTCTTCTCTGGACCCTCTCCAATTTCTCCACATCTTTCTTGAAATGCGGTGCCCAGAACAGGATACAATACTTCAACTGAGGCCTAACCAGCTCAGAGTAGAACGGTAGAATGACTTCTCGTGTCTTGCTCACAACACACCTGTTAATGCATCCCAGATTCATGTTTGCTTTCTTTGCAACAGCATCACATTGTTGACTCATATTCGACTTGTGGTCCACTCTAACCCCTAGATCCCTTTCTGCCATACTCCTTCCCAGACAGTCGCTTCCCATTCTGTATGTATGAAACTGATTGTTCCTTCCTGAGTGGAGCACTTTGCATTTGTCTTTATTAAACTTCATCCTATTTATCTCAGACCATTTCTACAATTTGTCCAGGTCATTTTGAATTATGACTCTATCCCGCAGATTAGTCGCAACCCCTCCTAGCTTGGTATCATCTGCAAACTTAATAAGCGTACTTTCTATACCAATATCTAAATCGTTGATGAAGATATTGAACGGAGCCAGTCCCAAAACAGACCCCTGCGGAACCCCACTTGTTATGCCTTTCCAGCAGGATTGTGAACCATTAATAACTACTCTCTGAGTATGGTTATCCAGCCAGTTATGTACCCACCTTATAGTAGCTCTATCTAAGTTGTATTTACCTAGTTTATTGATAAGAAGATCATGCGAGACTGTATCAAACACCTTACTAAAGTCTAGGTATACTACATCCACCACTTCTCTCTTATCCACAAGATTCGTTATCCTATTAAAGAAAGCTATCAGATTGGTTTGACATGTTCCCCATGTCGAACTACCTAGTCCATACCGTGTATAGCCGCGGGCAGGGAGTTCGAACTACGCGGCATTTAAAAATGGCGGCGCCCAGGAACATGCAAATAAAGCCTGGGATATTTAAATCCCGGGCTTCATTTGCAAGTTCGTATGCCTACATTAGCCACCCTAGTTCGAACTAGGGTGGCAGTGTAGACATACCCCAATTTAACTGAGTCCCAAGCCTGAGATTCCAGCCATCTTTTCACCACTTTTGACGTATTCCTCACACCCTCCTCTACTCATGCCTCTGCTTCTCTTCCTGCTCAGGTTCTTGCCAGTTCCTTCTGAGAAAAAACCGACAGACTACCTCACCACCTCTTCCCTTCCATTCCCTTCCCTTCCCATGACTTTCTTCTTCCAAGTTGCAGATTCCCTTTGTCCACTGTATTGGTAGTGCACCTACTCAATGATACCTCGTTTACAGGTACATTTTGAGACCTGTTGGCCAGTTTTAAATCCATTTAATATGTGCCCTCTTGCCTCTGTACCATTCTATTTTTTTTAATCAAAATGTTGTGTTACCAACATGCTGGCCATGCTGCAGGGTTTCAGAGCAGTGGACTGGGAATTGGGAGACCGGGTTTCTGTTCCTGGCTCTGTTATCTTCCCTGCTGTGACCTTGGGGAAGTCACTTCCTCTCTCCGTGACTTGGTTTCACCTCCCAGAATTTGTTTATTTAATGTGAATCCAGGGCAAGGACCATTTCTCGCTAGTGTCTGTGCAGCACCTAGAGTTGTAAGGCCATGTTCTTACCTGGGGCCTGTAGGAGTGTCTGTAATGCAGATGCTGCTGCAGGAAAGGCATGGAGATGTTTTGAGGCCCAGAGCAGTGTATCTTTCTGATTTTTAAGGGCTAAGAGCCGCTGCAGACATTACATGATTGAGATGCAGCCCAATGCACGCTACGTGATCCTGGGGGAGGACCGAGCTCACACATCTCTCACTGATCTGGTACAATACCATCGAACCATGGGAATCCAGCCCTTCATGGAGACGCTGACCATGCCCTGTGAGCAGGTGAGTGTTGGGGACTCTAGTTGTGTCTTATGGGCAAAGCGTGGGGGAGCTCGGACTGTGCCCTCTGAGTTAATGGAATTGTCAACATAAGGAAGTCCAGACTGTGTCTGAGCAAAGTTCCATCTAGCCCAGTGTCCTGTCTGCCAACAGTGGTTAATGCCAGGTACTCCACAGGGAGTGAACAGAACAGGGAATCAACAAATGATTTCTCTCCTATCACCCATTCCCAGCTTCTGACAAACAGAGGCTAGGAACATCATTCCTGCCCATCCTGGCTAATAGCCATTGATGGACCTAGCTGCCATGAATTTATCTAGATCTTTTTTTTGAACCCTGTTAGTCCTGATCTTCCCAACATCCTCTGACAAGGAGTTCCATAGGCTGACTGAAGCAGTTGCATGAAGAAATACTTCCTTTTGTTTTAAACCTGCTACCTATTAATTTCATTTGATGACCCCTAGTTCTCGTGTTATGGGAACAAGTAAATAATGTTTTCTTATTTCGTTTCTCCACGCCACTCATGATTTTATAGAGCTCTATCATATCTCCCCTTAGTCTCCTTTTTTCTAAGATGAAAAGACCCAGTCTTTCTAATTTCTCTTCATATAGCACCCATTTCAAATCCCTAATCATTTTTGTTGCCCTTCTCTGAACTTTTTCCAATGTCCCATTGGTAGTGTTGCTTTGTGTTCCTATAGGAAACATCCAATATGTTACCAAACGGTCAGGCAGCCCAGATTCCTGTGACCTTTATTCACTAGGGTGCACTAGCAGCTAAGCCAGTGGTTCTCAATCTGGGGCCCAGTCAGCACACAGCTGTGACCCATGTGATACCCTCAAAGCCATACAGGTAGTGTATATATATAGTGTGGCTGTGGCCCACGTAACACAGAGAGAGCCTACTATGGTAAATAGATTGACAACCACTGAGCTAGGCACAGACACACAGATTACCATTTTGTCATGAGGAGGCATGCTTTTGTTGAATCCCTAGCCATCCCAGGGAAGTTCTCAGAGCCGGGCATTATGTCCCTTTTCCCTAGTTACCACCCTTGGGAGTGGCTGTTCTAGCGGCAGGGGTACTATCACTGCTGGACACTTTGCTTCTAGTCCCTGTCTGCTGTTCTGGGACTCCTATATCTGGGCATTTTGCCTCTGCTAGTGACTCAGGAGCTCCTCCAGCTATTTGTGGGTCTCTGTGTCTTCTGAATGCTGTCCTTTTTCCTTCAGAAAGGTGATGGGGACTCTGATTATGAGGAGCTGAAATTCCACACCCTGGCCCTATGCCCAGCAGATGGAGAGAAACAGCCTCAAAAGGAACAGGCTGGTCTTAATGGGTTGCCTGCCGTCAGGCACATCCAGCACGTAGGAGCAGCCACTGTTCTCGAGCACATGCATTTCAAGAAATCAAAGAATTGCCAAGAGCAGCAGCCAAGCCCAGGCAAGGAGGGGGCGGAGCTGAGCCCACATGAGGCTGGGGTGGCCAGACATGTCTTTCCTCGTCTCTACCCCTCCATACGATTGGCAATGTGGGAAATCCAGCAGGTAAGTGTAGTTGTTCAGGAGGCGGTCAGGATTTACTGCTGAGGTGATCTCACAGGTCTCTGGCTCCATTGACGGTGATAATCAGAAGACTGCTTGCGTGTGTGCTCAGTGATGTGTACCGTATCGACTTGTGTGTTTAGTCTCCACAGCAGACTCTGAGAGAGCCCCCAAAGACCACAAACCGGAAAAGGATCGAAGGTGCCAGGCCAGGTTTATTGCTAAGCAAAGTACAGTAATAGTTGTTAGCAGCGGCGGATATAGGGCAGGGTGAACAGGGCAGCTGCCCCAGTCCCCACGCTTCAATAGGCCCCATGCACGCACTACAACCGGCTGTGGCCATGGCATATGCGCGAAATTGTGCTGCCCTGGGCCCCGCAAAACTCTCATCCACCCCTGGTTGTCAGTAGACTCTACTGAACCACTATGCATATGTACCCCATAGCAATAGAATGACTCAATCAGTAGGAAATTTCAACCGCCCCCTAGGTTATCCAAAGGCTGTCCCCCCCAAGACACCACCTTATATACAGGTACAACAAATCACACCTCGTTGCTGACGTATTAGGTTGCCACCCCCTGACATTGTCAGATTGCCACCCTCTGATGCTACTTAGATCATAGAATCATAGAACTGGAAGAAACCTCAGAAGGTCATCAAGTCCAGCCCCCTGCTCTAGGCAGGACCAATTCCAACTAAATCAACCCGGCCAGGGCTTTGTCAAGCCGAGACTTAAACACCTCTAGGGATGGAGACTCCACTACTTCCCTAGGTAACCCATTCCAGTGCTTCACCACCCTCCTATTGAAATAGTTTTTCCTAATATCCAACCTGGACCTCTCCCACCACAACTTGAGACCATTGCTCCTTGTTCTGCCATCTGTCACTACTGAGAACAGCCTCTCTCCATCCTCTTTGGAACCTCCCTTCAGGAAGTGGAAGGCTGCTATCAAATCCCCCCTCACTCTTCGCTTCTCCAGACTAAACAGACCCAAGTCCCTCAGCCTCTCCTCATAAGTCATATGCTCCAGCCCCCTAATCATTTTGGTTGCCCTCCGCTGGACCCTCTCCAATGTGTCCACATCCTTTTTGTAGTGGGGGGCCCAGAACTGGACATAATACTCCAGATGCGGCCTCACCAAAGCCGAATAAAGGGGAATGATGACATCTCTGGATCTGCTGGCAATGCTCCTCTTAATGCAACCTAATATGCCATTAGCCTGCTTGGCTACAAGG